AGGGGGTCCGGACCCCCTGGACCCCCCCCCTGTACACGCCCCTGTAGAATAGTGTATGAAGGGGACCCAAGCCACATATATTGTATTTGTATGACGGGGGCCTAAGGCCACCTATATAGAATTGTAATAATAGTGTATGTTGGAGGCCCAAGGCCACATATATAGTATTTGTATAACAGGGGGCCTAAGGCCACCTATATAGTATTGTAATAATAGAATAGTGTATAGGGGCCCAATGCCACATATATAGTATTGTATATGACGGGGGCCTAAGTTCACCTATATAGAATTGTAATAATAGTGCATGCTGGGGGACCAAGGCCACATATAGTATTTGTTTGACGGGGCCTAAGGCCACCTATATAGTATCAGGAGCGTATAATGACAAATACATATACGTCATTATACGCTCCTGATAGTATTGTAATAATAGAATAGTGTATGATGGGGGCCCAAGGCCACACATATAGTATTTATATGACGCGGGTTTAAGGCCACCTATATAAAATTGTAATAATAGTGTATGATGGAGGCCCAAGGCCACATATATAGTATTTGTATGGCGGGGGCATTTGTATAAAAATGTTATGCTATTGATCAAACGCGTATTCATATACTATTCCGTTGGCCCTACGTGTACTATCCTATATATTCTAGCTTACAATTTTATCATCATATTTAGCACATATTATTACATTATCACACATTTATAGTATGTTATTGGCAAATAAATATTTCCCATTTCCACGCTCACGTTAGATTACTATATATATATATTCCACTTGTTATAGAATGTTAATAACGCTATTGTTTTTTTAGCATTTATATGTGCGCTTACGTTTATTCAAATTTCATTCTATTTGTACTACTAGGATGTGGTATTTATCTTATTTGTACCATAGTTTAATCCTAATTGTACTTATACGCTATGTTAACTATATTTCCTCGTGTTTTTCTAATTATTTTGTCATTCACATCCTGTTAATTAAGATCGTATTATTTGTACCAACAATTTATCCTAATTTCATAAGAATAGTAAATAAGAAGGGTTGTTTCCCTCTTAGTTCCTATATCTGTTAGTTGTTATCTTAATTGTACCAGAATCGCGTGTTAATCATTCCCCTAGCTATTATCTTCTCTTCATCCTAATTGTTCAACGGTGTTATGCTAATTGCATCCGTATTCATATAATGTTACGTTATTCTTGGATGATATGGTCAGAATTTCCTTGAAATAATCTGAAATACTACTTTCATGTCTTGTTACAGTAGTTGTACTAACATTTAATCCGTGTAGGAACAGCTGTCAAAAAAGGGGTCGGCTTACCCGACGCATCCGACCGTGTAACTGTATATATAGCACATGCATATAACCATTATTCTACATAATATTATATAGGTATACTATTTATAATGTTGTGTATATATATGGATAATTAAAATAAAATAGGCCTACGACTGTATAAATTTATTACTGATGACGTCATGAGCGCGGAGAGAGACCTCTCCTGGACAAGTTGAGGTGTGGTCCAACGGTCGCCATCTTAGCACAAGTTAACGTTATAAACGTTAACATCACTGTTTATATTCGGACTATTGTGAGCAGTTCAAGGTAAATTAGATGGCTAACGGACTCCTGGCGTTATACTGTGTTTTACTGTGTACTTATGTATGGTGTAATGTACAATGGGTCGATTATTTCGAATGGTAGTTTTGAATGTTTACGAACCGGCTTGTGTGTGTGTGTGTACCACCCATACTGACTGTTGTGTTACTGTCATACTGACTGTGTACAGTGTAGGCCTATGTACGCTGTGATATTTACTGTGTTTGATAAATCTCCCCCATTCATTTACACAGTGTGATTGATGTTTAATTGAGAAGGCGGTTTATATCATATCTACCTAGATGAGTTTGGCATATTCATAATTCAGGGTTCTCCTAAACCGACCAGGCTCTCCGACTGTTACACGTCGTAGGAGCCTGACATCCTTCCATACGAAATGCCTGGTAGCTTGAAAACAAACTCCGAATTTCATAAAATTTCATAAATAAAACAATGTATTACCACATTTGACCTCACCTGTTACATGTTTGCAACTATCGCATCACTTCTTAATTACTATTTACCTCGAAATGCACGTTAAAATAAGAGAATTTCGAACAGCTATACTATTTGAACGTTAAACGCCATACTGGATGTTCTTATGTCTCTTTTTGTACTGTTTGCAATGTATTTTTCGCTACGTATGATGGGATATCTATGGGAAAATGGCGACGTTTTTTTAGTTTTATCATCAATTTATAAATAATTGCTCGCTGACACGTAAATACATGCTCAGTGATATATAGCGCACATATGATAAATCGAGGCGTGGAAGTACAGAGAAGCGGTAACAATCATAAAAAGTTAGATAATTTTACGTTTAATAGCAGCGCACGTCATGTCGAACAATATTCTAATGCGTCGGCTTGTGACCCTTTCTCCAACGTAGTGTTAAGCGAGAAGGGAACTTGTGGCTAGGGTTCTCCAAGCTTTTTCATTATAGGCTACTATTACTTTAACCACAAGTTCCCTTCTCGCTTAACACTACGTTGGCGAGAGGGTCACAAGCCGACGCAATAGAATATTATTCGGCATGACGTGCGCTGCTATTAAACGTAAAATGATCTCCCTTTTTATGATTGTTACCGCTTCTCTGTACTTTCACGCCTCGATTTATTATATGTGCGCTATCACTGAGCATGTATTTATGTGTCAGCGAGTAATTATTTATAAATTAATAAGATAAATCTCAAAAAAACGTCTCAATTTTTCCATAGATATCCCATCATACGTAGCGAAAAATACATTGCAAACGCTGCAAAAAGAGACATAAGAACATCCAGTATGGCGTTTTACAACGTTCAAATAGTATAGCTGTTCGAAATTCTCTTATTTTAACGTGTATTTCGAGGTAAATAGTAATTAAGAAGTGATGCGATAGTTGCAAACATGTAACAGGTGAGGTCAAATGTGGTAATACATTGTTTTATTTACGAAATTCGGAGTTTGTTTTCAAGCTACCAGGCATTTCGTATGGAAGGGTGTCAGGCTCCTACGGCGTGTAACAGTCGGAGAGCCTGGTCGGTTTACTATTACTTATAAGTTATAGCATTTCATTATACTTATGGAGTTATAGTCTTTAGCTTTACAGTCCTCGTTGCAAATCGCCGAAGGCGGTTTGCGTGCTAGGGGGGTTCGGGGGCTATGATATTTAGCATGGCGGCTATGATATTTAGAGTGGCGGGTGCATTTTAGGATGGCGGGGCTCGACGATAGCCTGGCGGGCTGCCCCCCCCCCCTACCAGGCTATAAGTGCTCTTGGAGAACCCTGGTATTAACATATATATACCATGTTCACTCTTCAAATTCAGTAATAAAACGATTTTATTATAATCTATTTCACTTTCAAGTTTCAAGAGCATTGGAGAGTTGTTGTTTGATTGATTCCTAGTTTGGGACCCCAGTATATATAGTTCGTCTACGGCTGATCTAATCCAGCGTGCTCAACTAGGATTGGAACGATTTGTTAGAACAGACGATGATCATGCTGATTTGTTCATCATTTCGCAAGGGAAATTAGTGCCAATCTTTATTCGTTAAGAAGGATAAATACTTTTTGTTCATGCAAGAAAGGTTCATCAGTAAAATGATTTCAGGCCCAAGGGGGCCTTTTCATAACAGAATAATGTTAAGTAAACTCTAAACTGGTATATAAGACGTGCGCAATCCTAGTTTGGGACCCCGGTATATATAGTTTGAATAGGTTTTAATCCTGGGTGCTAAACTAGGATTGGGCCTATAAAACATGTGATGGGCAAGTGTGTCAGTTCCTTTAAAAGCAAGGTTCAAGTGAAGTTGCATTTCATCACATAAATTTTCAAACTTTATTGATGAGTGGCACTAGTTGACTTAATATAGACAACAGTGTGTCCGATTTATAAACTAAATTGTTTGACACCTAAAGATCATTGTCTTTCTGATGCCGTGTTTGTTATCCTAGGGAGTGATAAAGAGTTCTTGGCATTGTAGTTATGTAGTGACCCTATAACACATAGGATGACTTGTTTATTAGCATATATATATTGTTATATTGTTGAAAATTGTTATATTGACTATTTTAATATTACTGAGTTCATACCTCATAGGAGCAAAGGTAAAATAAAATTGTAGCTAATTGGGAGTTCTACGTAAAGGGGGGAAAGGCAGAAAAAAGTTAAGAGGTCTCTCCCATTGAAGATGTAGTTGTGGTGATGCCAGCTGGTCTGAGTGGATTCTGTTTGTGTTTCAGCTGGCCAAATGACGGATATACGAAAGAAATTGGTGATAGTCGGCGATGGGGCATGTGGTAAAACGTGTCTACTAATCGTGTTTAGTAAAGACCAATTCCCAGAGGTTTATGTGCCCACTGTGTTCGAAAACTATGTAGCTGATATAGAAGTAGATGGAAAACAGGTGAGTTTTGTGTTTTTACATCTGCTGCAGTCTTCATGCTTCAGTTCTCTGTACGTGCGCACGTGTGTGTCGGTGTGTGAAGAGGCAGGTTCGAAGGATACTATATTACTGTAAATATACAAGCTGCTGGACATGACCTATTTCGAATGAAACCTTGTCATTAGTTCATTGGAAGAGAGAATTATCTTTACAGTCTAATACAGTAATATACAGTCTTTTATCTGCACTGTAATACCATTTAAAAAAAGGCGTCTCTTCTAGCTGCAAATAATCAACAGATGCACAGGTGCAGGTTTGTGATAAACTGTGTTTGTGTCCGACAGGTGGAACTGGCGCTGTGGGACACGGCAGGACAGGAGGACTACGACAGGTTACGACCGCTGTCGTATCCGGATACCGATGTCATCCTCATGTGTTTCTCCATTGACTCGCCGGACAGCTTAGAAAATATCCCTGAGAAGTGGACACCAGAAGTAAAGCACTTCTGCCCTAATGTGCCCATCATCTTAGTAGGTACGTCATGTGACATCGCCTACAAGGTTTTGCGTGCGACGACGTAGTGATAGAAATGTACAGGCAGTGTAGCAGAAGTCTTTGTTTTACGGAAATTACTCCATGTTGTTTATTTTCGTTAGTTCAATCCATCTGCTCTCACCCTGACGTTCACATGTTTAATTCTTACCTTAACGTTCACATGTTTAACTCTCGCCCTAACATTCGTGTGTTTTGCTCGCACCCTGACGTTCGTGTGTTTTGCTATCACTCTAACGTTTGCATGTTTAACTCTCACCCTGCCGTTTGTGTTCTTTTCTTCTCAGTCTAACGTTTGCATGTTTAACTCTCACCCTGCCGTTTGTGTTCTTTTCCTCTCAGTCTAACGTTCGCATGTTTAACTCTCACCTTAACATTCGCGTTCTTTTCCTCGGTCTAATGTTCAGATGTTTTTTTGTTGCGCAGCCAATAAGAAGGACCTGCGTAACGATGAGGCAACAAAGCGTGAGCTCGCGAAGATGAAGCAGGAACCCGTGCGGACGGAGGAGGGCCGCACGATGGCCGAGAAGATCGGCGCGTTCGCCTTCCTCGAGTGCTCGGCGCAGACGAAGGAAGGAGTCCGTCAAGTCTTCGAGACGGCCACCAGGGCTGCGCTGCAGGTCAAGAAGAGGAAGAAGCGTGGCTGCACGCTGCTGTAGGCGGCGGCGACGGCGGCGACGCGTGCTGCGAACCCCCCGGGGGGCAGGTGGCGGCGGCGGCCGTCGACTCGGGGACGGTGCTACAAGGCCGCCGCGTCGCCAGTAGCGCGCGCAGGGTTTGGATTTGGTGTGGCACTCGTCAGCTGGCGCCGGCGTTACGTTAAAGTCGGCGCCGCTGTGGGAGAGAGACGTTGAAAACGGCGTGATTTCCGTCGATGGGTCGGCCGACCCCCGCCGCCTTGTTTGCGGATGTCTCGGGCGAGTCTCCGGCCGCGCCGTGGTCGCGCAAGACACCCGGGGGCGTTGACCGTCGTCTGACGCGGCGATGTATTTTTTGCGGCGATGCCCTCTGGCGAGCACTTCGTCGAAACGCGCACGCAATCATATATCCACTACCGTCGATCACGTGTTCTCGGTCGGTGCATCCAGATGGCGCCGGTGCTGCGCTCGCCCCTATCGACTCGCTCGTAGTGCGTGCGCGGTGGGCAGGGGAGCGGGGGTGTGATGGGGGAATTTTTATGCATCACTTTTTTCAGAGAGTCGGACAAGTTGTTGCCTTATTTGACGTCTACGTGTATTAGTCATGTGCGCGTGCACGGCGCGATGTCTCTGCGTCGGTCACGTGTGCTCGGGACTATGTAGCACTCGTACACCGTCACTGCCATGTTCAGTTATGTCTCGCCACACATCACCTGCTGTCACAGTCGCTATGTGACACACCTGCTTGCACCGTCTTGTAGCAGCAATCACAGATATGGTCGCTATGTAACACAACTGCTTCAACCGTCTGCGATAGCAGCAATCACAGATATGGTCGCTATGTAAAACAACTGCTTCAACCGTCTGCGATAGCAGCAATCACAGATATGGTCGCTATGTAAAACAACTGCTTCAACCGTCTGCAATAGCAGCAATCACAGATATGGTCGCTATGTAACACAACTGCTTGCACCATCTGTGATAGCAGCCACCACTGATATGGTCACTAGCTGAAGCCAAATTGAGTACGTTTAAAAAATTAAAGGTAATGTGGCTTCCTTGTGCAGTGCCAAGTTACTCTCGTCTAGGTGCTGCCGCTGTTCCGCACACTGGTCGTGTGTACCTGCTGCGCTCAGGTACGCCACAGTCTAGCATCCGTAATCAAGTCATTTATGTTGTGTGCACTCACGCCGTCACTGCATTTCTACAGGCGAGGTGGAATCTTGCGATATGCGGCACCGATTGAAAAATTCGCGAATGTCGTCGGGTTTCAATTCGCGCCGCTGTCGCTTTTTGCGCATCTAGGGCGAGAGAAGCCCTGCGGGTCAGCGATGGAGAGGCTGGGCAGCTGAGCTCGCCTCCGCGTGCTTCCGCATCCCTGGCCGCCTCCGCCGGCAGAGCTCTCCCGCGGCTGACAGGTCAGACGCGGCAGGTCTCTGCTGCTGTGGGCGCGGATGATCATCGGGAGGGAAGCGGGCGGCGGCCGAACCACGACGGTCTCTCCCTCGCTGAAAGTCCGCAAAGCACATTTTGCTGCGCGCACTTGAACCCCGCTGTTTGCGCGTGCGTTCGTGCATGTGCTTTCTTTTCTCGCGAGGCTGTAGGTATTTTTTATATATTGATAGCCGTTAATTTATGGTATGGAAACTTAGTCGCGCGTTTATAGCCGGGCCGTCCGCGGAATGGGCGGCCCGGCGTCGGATTTGTTTTTTTTCACGGGAGGGAGGGAGGTAGGGAAGTTAGGGAGCGTTCACTGCGTCACGACTCGGAGCTTTGTAAGTGACCGCCTTGCGCGATCGCCTTTGCCGCCTCCCAGGCGCGACACCGCCGCTCAACAGTGGCGACACCTGCAGGGGGAACACGCCGCCACACGCTTCGGCAGAGAGAACACCAACAAAATGTTCACGATGCGGTTGGAATCGTGCCTGCAGGCGTCGTCGGCGCACCTTCCCTCCCTCCGCACTGACATCGCGCCGTAGGAACGACTTGTCGAGGTGCATGCGAGATGGCAGCGGGTAGTGAGGGGTGGCCTTTGAGCTGGAGGCGGCCGGAGATTTCTCTTCTCTCTGCCGGCACCAATGTCGTACAGCGAGTGCACTTACTCCGCGTGCAGTTGCTGAACGATGGAGGATGAGGTGACCGGCAAACGTGTAGAGAAATCTACGTGCATTCTATGAGTGAGAAACATCGAGGAGCGTGCCGGATCGTGGCGAACATCGAGCAACGTAGTAGAGTGGTAATAATGAATGTCAAAGAACTTGCCAGAGGGAACAACCTCAGTCGGCAGTGTTTCCGCGGTGATGCTGGTCTCGCGAAAGCGCCAGTTTCCCAGATGCGGATGAGCGTGATCATGGCAACGGCATCGTAAGTGTAGTCTGCGTCTTCCTTGTCTCAGGCGCTTCCACTGAGTAGCAGCCGCTCAGAAGCGATTATTGATTAATTGTAAGTTATTTAAATGCACTGTAGGTGGCGCCCCGTGATTTGGGGTCGCATTCCTGTTTCGTGACTAGGGTGCAATCGTTTCAACTCCTACGATCCGTCTGCCTGAGCCGTAGTTCTAAGTTTGTTGTTGTTGCCCCGCGTAACAACGATGATTAAGGTGTGGTGTTTGGTTAGGCTAAACCGACCGCTGAAACGCGAGTTAACGTGCGCTTGTTTGCGTGTGCGCTGCGAGTTGGTTGTGGCTGCTTGTACGATGGTTGTATGGGAACGTTTAGTGATTGTCTTGAGCTCCATGCCTCCCTCATGAATACATGCAAGATCTATATAAACCTTTGAAGTTCTAGACCAATGCTTCTTATCGTTATATACCACAGTAATCACTGGACTTGAACAGGTGAATCTAGCCAATACATTATCTACTATACTGTATAGTTATCATAATAATATATATAATATTCTATATTATCTTCCCCTGCATCTCAATTCGTGCCAGGACATGGAAGAACACTACCCATTAGTAACCTACCAAAATCCTATCAAAGCTGAGCTAATTATGAGCTTTAGTGTCACCGAGTGGCATCTTCGCAATTATATTTCATGTAATAAATAAATGAGCAAGAATAGTTGAGGAAAAACTGCATAGCACCACCATCAGAACAGCTATAGTGAAAATGAGACCAGGCATGACTGCATGTCTGAGTTCATGCTCATTTATATCACAGTATGAAGATCAAGAATCTAAGCAATTTATGAATGAGATCTATTTATATAAGTAATCGGTGAAATTAAAAGATAATCCCTCCAGTAATGAATTGCAAATAACATGCCATCAGACTCGGCACTTGTCAATGCCCACCCCTACAGAAAACGGAAAGAAATTCAATAACTTGATCATTTATAGATTAAAAAACGCTAGAAAGGTTTATTTACATGTACAGTTATCATTACAAGTCGCGTTCATGATTCTTTTCACAATAAAAACATGCAGTAAAAGTGCGATTCCATGATTCCCTGTTTCTTCAAGACATATTACTTGTACAACACATACGACAACGCGCAACAAATTTTCAGGCACATTCGAGAAACGTTGCTGAGATTCTATGACGAGATTGCATTTCATCACCCGCGTACAACATTGCATCGTAGCATAAGCAACATTGACGTCGTATTCTAAACGACATGTGTCAACGCTTGCATAAAAAAACAACGCGATGTCGTGGCTGCTCACGAAACGCGGCAAGGTCGATCCCACATTTCGCTCGAGTTATTCTAAAAAAACAATGATTCGGGAAAGCTCCAGACATCATCCGGCACTTGGTCACACTTGGTAAAGGCGGTGTTGGCCTAGAAGATTGACACTGTCAACCACGTGGACTAGTTGCAGCCACTTGATGCCAAGCTCACAGCTGACGGGGTTCGACAAGCCTGCGAAGGAAACAAAATACTGTACTATAACTGCTCGCTAATGGACAACAACGGACTTCACGCCACGCCATGATTTGGTCAGTTTGCTTGCTACTTGGTTCTATGCAAATTAGCAACGGAATATTCTCTTACATTTTCCACGTACAAGTGTAACACCAATAACGGATCACAAACCAAAGAATTGCCACGAGAGCATTTTCCGTGCATGACCTGTTGCTGGCAAAGTAGGGCTTTGAAGGAACTATTTTCTACATTAGATGGCGGCACTAGCGAGTTGTTCACATCCACATTCGATGTGCGACTGGATGGATATGTAGCACACAGAGATGTGGAGTGTCATAATATAGACACCATCAGATACTATAGAGAGCAGACAACCACTGGGAGCGAGATCAAGTCCGTTCCCCACCAAGTTCACGGTACAGCACACACATTTGATATATATAACGCTTCTGGTGTTACGGTTAGGGTGATGAGAGTTAGGGTTAGCATGAGAGTGGTAGGCGCGAACTTGATCTCACTGCCAGTGGACTCAACACTTGTACTACGAATTTATATTCGGTTGCAAAAGTCACTTGTGCGTTACAGAATTTTCTTAATTTCCTCATACAAATTTCCTTACAGAACTACCAAAAACTAAATGCTATTTTTATGTAATAATTAACACATGTACATGTATAGCTCAACACGTGTTAATACATACATATAACACATGTTGAACTCTAGCAAAGGCCAAAACTGCTATCAACATAGCATTCAGTCATATACTTTAATTCCTTTTTTGGAATAATTGTTGGTGAACGCGTAACACCACCTACTCCTCAGAAGTTCGACCGTTTGTGACCAAACAAAGGGCTACACAGGTAGAACTAGTACAGTAAACAGACAAGACTATGCACGTATGCCCCGTTGATATTTCTCGCACGTGTAAGTTGATCAACGTGATCAATCGTCGCTTAATCTTTTATTCATTCAATTGACATTAAATTGAAGACTGTCTCGATTAATTCAAACATGCACCAGGAGATGGCGCCACAGTACGCACTTCTATAAGAATACACACATACTACAATCATCAGACACGTACAGAAGGGAAGGTTATAGCAGATTATGCAGCATGTAACAACAAACTGCAGTAACGAGTGCGTACACATGATGTACAACTAGCAGAACCGATTAAATTGCACCCATTGTGAACAACATGAGACGAATACAGCAATAACGCGGCACGACGAGACTACGTTGAACCGAAAGGCCCTCTGTACTGTACACACTGTCCCCCCCCCCCCCCCCATCTACACCGCGTAGAAATTCACTGTGGTAAGTTTGAAGGCTAAACTACTCGAAATTTACAACTAATGCTGACCACCATCACAGCTGGACGTCAATGGCTCCTAGTACAAGATGCAAACAGGCGAGATGTGTTTCTATAGGTTGTCTCTACATAAAATAAAAGGACGAGTCGCACAGCACTGCTTGCTGCGTCACAAGGGACACGATGGAATGGATCGAATGAGGTCAAGTCAGTAGGACGAGCAGTTTCTGGACACAGACACATCTCGCTCAGTAAGACACGGCCATAACCTGCTTCATTTATAGGAACTGACAGGTTTATAACGCCAATAGCAAGTATATCTGAATCAAATAATCAATCTGCTCGCAAAAATGCTCGGTTTCTGTTGCGTTCTCCCCCTAACAGCTAGTCTGTCGACGAGAAAGTCTTGCAAAATCTTATCGCAACCACAAAACTGCCTGTTTACCTTCAGCTGTTGTCCATACTGGCTATCCGTGTGTGCTACATTAGGTAGTCTGCAAAACAGAAGGTGAGAAATCACAATTAGCTCATGAAAACAGACTCACTGATACTACACACACGCATGCGCACGAAAACGCAACAACCCCTATTTTAGTTTTGAAGTTCTACCCTCCCAATGGTTGGTTCGCGACCCCATGTGCATTTTGGTAGCATACGTAGACCATTCAACTATGATAAGGTGTATCTTCATGGAGCCTTTAGTTTAATTTCACAGGGTGTGTTTTGCATGAGTAAAAATTTAATTAAGTGTGGTTAATTAACATTAATACATGTTGCAATCGTATTACATTTTAAATGCATGTAGATAGAAACTTCATTTTAAAGCAAATATGTTATTATTGGGCAAAGTTCTACATGGATAGTGATTGTTTACATTTTCTACATTTATGCTAGAGACATCGATTGGTACTGGTATATATACATATATAACAGGAACAAAAAGTTATGATCATGTTAAACATAAATGCTACTAAAAACGATTATGTTTCAGTCTCCTTTTTACGATGCATAATAAACTCAAGAAAAAACACGATTGAACAGCCAAGAAATTTGCACGAACTTTATATACAATTGTTACGATTATTATCATCATCATCATTATTATTAAACAACTTGACGGAACGATAGGTTTACCTGCCTTTTGTTACCACATATCGTGGTCGGGGAAGTGAATGACATTGTGTGAAGTTCTCCACTCTCATTGCAGTGTCACTGGGAGGCGTTTGTTAGGTTTATGGCGGGCAGCGATTAAACTCTTCGTCTGGCTGCTCACTACACTTATACAGCAACGCGAGTTTAAACAGCGACGCTCGCGTGCGAGACGCGATGCGTGCCGAGGCAGCCATCTTAAAATCCGGACGCTCGCAGTCGAGAATAACTATTCTAAGGACTGGACACTCTTTCGCTGTCGATTGCTCGATTAATTATTACGACGGTAAATCGACTGATAATGCTACGAAGCATCAGACCGTAAATGTCTGACAAGTATTTCCTTTATGTAATGCGAGAAATAGACAGCGACTAAACCATCATCCAAGTTCACGATGAAATTGACAAGGTTTAACATTAAAGTTTACATTTAAATTACACAATCGACATGATATAGCATCAATGATTAGTGCTAGTGACATCACTGTTAACGTTTGAAGCTTTAATGTTCTGTGTAATATACCTAGTAGGTGTAGGGATAATTTGGGATTTCACAGGAAGAAATGAAAGAGTTGTTTTTGGTTAAGACCTGAATGATATACAAATTTTAATTTTGTTAAAAGAGCATTCATCCACACCAAGGCCACTCTAAACGGTGACAAGAATTTTTTACATTCTTATATCAAGACGAATCAAGTTGATATTTTCTACAACTACTTTATTGCAAAGCTGCACAGGCTGTGAGTACAAGCGATCAGAACTCATTAATAAAATTTAATTGCAATTGAAAATTTGATCGCAAAATAAAAGAACAAGTACCAGCAGAGAGGCTAACACATTTTGACTCGTCTATAATGCAAATTAAAAAATCTTGCGCAGCCTTTTTTCCTAACGATTCACAGCTGCCGAAACAACGGGGAAGTCTAACGAGCAGATTACATGCCTTCGTACAAACTCAACGCGCGACCGATCATCGTCGAATGAAATGCACGAGCGTAATTTTTTCACCGCGCGCTCCATCGCTGCACGTCCAAATTGACAGGGAAACGTGTTTTTATTAGCAAACCACAGGCTGAGCGAATTAGCACTTAGAATCGGGTGTTAGCTGTCAATTCGCGAGCGCACGCCCACCGTTCCTAATTTATCCAAACGCGAGTGTCTTTGGTTATCTCGAGAGTGCGTGAGCGGCGAGGGACACGTGAAGAAGAAAACGTCCCGCGCGGAACGCAACACCCCGGCTTCTTTTCAGCTTCTGAAGCCAACGCTAGCAACACCCCGCCGCCAAAGTATTGCGTAAGAGAGCTCTCTGTCTCGTTGCCGCGGTGAACGCGTGCAGACGAAGAAAAAAGCGCCTGTGCCGCCGGCGAATTTTTTAGCTAGTTAAGCACGCTCGTCGACGAGCTTGCGAGCATAAGGTCCGCGTCAACACGCGCGACGTAATTCGATTTGCTGTGTAAACTGCGAGCGAGGGCAGACAATCGCTGCGGCGCCGCGAAATTAAACCGGGCGGGTTTCGCGGCGAGCGCAAAAAACAAGCGGCAGCTTTCTACGCCACGCAGCCGGGCACCTGCCGGGATTCGGTGGCCGTGGTTTTGCGATCGAAAGCCAAGGTTTCGCGAACCGTCTGACAAACACTAGCGTAACGTGGGCTGTGTTGTTATTGTGCCGTCAGCTTTTAAGCAAGATCGCATTTCATCGAAAATGGTTTAGCTTCACAGGAACTGATTGACGGGAGTCATGGTTTTACCTGGACAGTTGATGAAGATTAGGGTGGGTGGGCAGCCGGTGAGGGGATATCGTAAGACTGCTGATTACAGATGATTACTGCTGATCTACATATATCCAACCATTTCACAGATGCATCATTTGCATATGAATAGAAATCGTATGTGAGCAATGGATCAATTCGGTGGCACCTAGTGGTACCATTTACTCATGGTATTTTAACACTTATGTGTACACGAGATTTGTGCTTTGTGCTGACGCAGGGTAGTAACGTAGGGTCGCAGATTAAAGATGCAAAAATATAATCGTCTCACATGGCTTTACTGGTTTGTAACTGTGCAGCACACAGATAAGTTTTTATTTGTTTACACGTGATAAGATAGTTGTACCTCGAATACAATTACATCGCTAATCTAAAAATCATACGCCACACGTCTTCATTTAAGAGAGAGAATAGTCTGCTCTACTGAATACAGTAACAGCCACGTCACTAAGTGAACTGGAATGCGTGAATATATGCCTCATCTAAACAGATAGTAATAGTGGCACACTGTTTAACATACACAAGGAACGACAATCGACAAAAATTGGGACAGTTTTATGTGCCACGTATGACGACAATGCACTTTTACATTTTCCAACCCTGCCGTTGCTGGTTAAGAAATCCTATTAAAAAATCGAGAAAGAAAATTACACACTCAATTAATCATGGTATTCGTGCACACATATTAAACTGCTCATAATTTTACATTAAAATGGAAGATGTTAGAACAATTACAAGTTGGCAGCATCGATATTAATAAAAACAAATTCTGATTTACAATAATAGTAATGAATTTAAATAAGACACATGTTGCGTGTTCAAATTAAAATGTGTTTACTACTAACCTTGGAGTTTTTTAATACCAGCTTGAATAATCAGTTTTCACGTGGATTTTTAATGAGATTCATTTGTATAAATGGGCCATTTAGATACCATTTAGCAGAACTATACGATAAAATTTAAGGACGACACTGATGAGGAAACATTAAATGAATAAACCTTTCTATTTAGGCTAGGCTAATAAACATCATTACTACAGTGCTCTCTCTTTCTCTCTCACCACGCGCACACTCCTTTTTTCTTTATTATGGTGCAGAACCCGTTAAATAATTTAGGGCAAATGCACTTACATTGTGGGCACGTTTTCTTGCACAAACACGTTTGCCATGTTTGAAGATGTTTGATGTGCTCGCTAAACTGGCAGCGAAAACAGATTCGAAACACACGATCACCAGACCGGCAGTGTCGAACCGAACAGGCACTCGTGTTTGCACAGGGAGACGTGCCTTAGGAAACACCAGGCGTTAGAGAAAAGTGGACCGGTCGCCCCGCGTGTCCCGATCGCACGACAGCCGCACAAATCGCACAACGCACCAGCGCGCTTATCGTGAACGTGGTGCCGCCTGCGATGGGGACTGCAGAGAGGCCGGCTCACGATCGCAAACAGGCAACGCCATGCGGGACACGACAATCAGCAACGGGTACCTTGTTCATTGATGCAGCAGCAGGCAGCGCCCTCTACGGGCATCTACTGGAAACGACTCCGGCTCGTCGTCGGCGGCTGGTACGGGTGCTGTCGCATGGGGGCGCCACCGCGCGCGGGCGGCGCCTTCCCCATCATGTTCATGTTGACGGCTCCGCCGCGAGCGACCTGGCCGGCACCGCGGGCGACCCCCGCCCCCCGGGTCATCCCCGCGCCGCGCCCCATCCCCGCCCCACGGCTCACACCCAGGTTCACACCCCCTCCTCGGGCCACGCCCCCGCCACGCCCGTTCGTCCCGCGGGTCACCCCAGGGCTGCGCCCCATGCCGGCGCCCCCTCGCCCCATGGACGTCGCATCGCTACCACCCCACTGGTCGGCAGCGCTGATACCAGCCCCGCCCCATTGGTCAGCGGAGGCGGCGTCTGGCCCTCCCCACTGGTCGCCGCCGCCTACAACGCCTGCAAATAGTGCAATAGCCGACTTTAGTTGAAAGTAATGGAGACACCTGCTTGTTGTTATGTGAGGGAGCAGGGCCTGCATGCTGCTAACTGAGGAAGAATGTAGAGGGTTGTGAGTGTATGCTGTCATGCACGGGGACTAAGTCTGCATGCATGAGAGAAAGGGGAGGAGAGGATACAGGGGAAAGTCAAAGAGAAGGGAAGGGGTTAGGACAGCTGCAGGAGTGGAGAGGGGAAAGGAAGGGAGGGGACGGGGGGTTATGAGTGCATGCGAGAAGGGGAGTTAGGATTGTATGAAGAAGGAGCTGGAGGAGGAGGAGTAAGGAGCAGAGGGGCTCGGACTGCATGGAGGGGGTGAGATTGGAGGAGGTTAGGATGGATGGAAAAGCATTCGATTTAAGGAGTTCAGGCTGCCAATTAGGATCTGTCAATCAACTAGCGTGGCTTATCAGACGAGGGCGGGAAAAAACACAAGCAACTACAAACACACGTACAATGCAAATAAGCAAAGACTACACACTTTGACGTGCCACACTCGTTACGGCGTGAAAGCTTGATATACTAATAAACAAAAGACGTCAACAGAGCCAGAGCGAGCGAGAGAGCGTTTCCCGGTGCGTGCGAGAGAGATAGAGTAAAAGCACAAGAGATTGTGGGAAAGATAAACACAGAGTGAGAGAATGAACGAGAAAAACAGAGGCGAGTAGGGAGGACAGTTAAAGAAATCTGCTGCTACACTAAACTGGTATAAAAGTAAGTTAAGAGCCGCTAATAGCCAATAAAAGACTCCGTAGCTGTATTCGTTCGATATGACACAGCTGCACGCAGGCACACCGGAAACAAACACTGAGAGAGAGCACAGACGAAACTTGCACGATTCTGCTTAAGTGCTCAAGCAATCACACCTAAAACCGAATCTAGTTCGCTTTCACGTCAAGTGATGTCACTGCATGGGTGTTTATACAGCATTAATGACTGCGGGCGTTGAACGTTCACAAAGATTGCCCAATTCATGGCTAACGCTCCATTAGGAGTGTTCCCAACTTTGATATCATTAATGATTAGTGATTGATAATCCTAACCCTAACCCTAACCGAAATGACATTAAACCACAAACTAATATATGACCATGACCATATATATATATATGTTATTATGACCATTAATGACATTAAAGTTGGGAACACTCCTAATTGAGTATCACCCCAAGTCACGGTGAAAGGATCTCTAGTCTATACATGGAGCTACTATGACACAGAACTTACCGTATCCGGCTGCCTCGTACTGCCCTGCTGTCTGGTCATAGTATTGCTCCTGGCTGCAGGGAAATGAAATTAGTAGGTCTCAGGGGAGAGATAGTGAATATAGAAATAAGTTGTAGATATAGAAATCAGTTAACCCTAACCTTAACCCTAATCCTATCCCTAATTCTAAAATAAAACTAAATTAGCCAAAAATAATAAACAATAAAATAAATAAGACAAAATTAGCCAATCAGAGCCGTTTTTGTTAGCGCTTAACGCGCCCTCTAGCGGATCACTATCTCTCCGCTGTGCAAAATTTCAGTGAAATGAGCTTAGCACCATTACATACAGCAATTATTACTATTATTATTTATTATTATTATCATCATTGCCAAAAGAACAAAACAGTGACATTTTGCCTCTAAGAAAGGAGAAATATTAGTTCAATCTCGACGATTTTCTGCGGTCAAACACAATAATAGCCCATTTTGCAGTAGCGTAGCCTGTACTTCAGGGCTTTCCAGGACTACAGCCTATTTCCGGAGGTGCGATCCCAACCTGGAATCCTCCCACATTTTTGGAAATTTCTGCACTTTCTAGGGTTTCCAGGACCATATAAAAACCCTGATCCCCCTCCCCCGCACATGTAACGTGGTGGGTGGGTAGGGTGGGGGCTTTACCTGGTTGTGGTGTACTCCTGGTAGCTCGCCGGCTGTTCATAACTCTCCTCGTAGCTCTGATCCGCGGCTGCGCCACCGCCGAATCCAGCCACCTGAAACATTCACACGCACGCATCGATGTAAAAACACATCAATCGCGAAAGTTTTTTCAGGGCGGCAGCACTGAGAAAGATCTCAAACGGGGTAGGAAAGGGAAGCGACTAGGAAGGGAAGGGGGAGACTGCGGTAGATAAGTGTCAACGATAGCAGAGAAAGTGAGTGAGAGAAAGTACATGGGATAGAAGAGAAAAACATTGAAACAGAAAAAGCACGAGAAGTGCAAAGAGAGAAGAGATAGGGAGTGACATACATATATATACAGTACAGAGAAAGATGGATCAGGGTACGAGGAACGAGAAAGAGGGCAAAATAGAAAGGTGAGGGGGAGAGGAGGAGAGAGAGGTGGGAGAGAGATGACTGACACTTAAATGCTGATCACCTTCCAGATGCAGATGACAGATTTCTACTTAAATGTAACTGCGCAGTAATGATAGCAGTTGCTAAGCTTCTAATGAACCCAGCTGACAGCGATCTGTCGCATTAGGTTCGTTATAAACATCGCAATTACACAGCAGGCTTCCATGGCTCACTCTACACCAATTAGTTTACCATCTGCTGCGATTGACAGAATATATTGGTGCTTGCTGCAGCAACATACGCGGAGTATAAAAACCAGTCGAGCAGATTCCACTCTGCAATCGTATATATTTATATATCGCTGCTGACGTGAGAAGGACAGAGACAGATGGATGGCGAGGGAGCAAAAGGGAAAGATGAGGAAAGGAGGAACGAGAGAGCGAGCAAGAGAAAGAGAGAGAGAGAGAGAGAGAGAGGAAAGGGGAAGAGAGATGGGGGAGAAGAGAGAGATGGAGAGTAAAGTAGGGGGGGGGAGAGGGAAGAGAGAGATTTATAAAATATAATCTAGGGATAAAGTAATACCAAAATATAGAATTTAGACAAAGGCTACAGAGAGGCACTATACAGTACATACACAGCAGTCATATACGCAGGGCTCCCTTTGGATGTTTTAAAGTTTGAGCCAAGACTTGAGCCACAAAAGTTATGTTTTAGCCACCAATGAAAAACTATACCCGCTCTTCACTTTATCATATGTGATAAGCAATGCGTAAACAGGTGATGTATATGGGAAAAGAGGTGTACGAAAACATTTTGCGACACGACACTGCAATTAGACGATTTCATTATTCAATCGTCTTACGAACAGTTAAATAATTCGCTATTTCTAACCGCCACTTAGCGTAGTAAAATCGCCACCGTTATTTATTTATCGCATTTGCGAAGATGGCGAATGCCAGAGGTATCCCTGAATACATACAGTCAATTAGAGAGAAATGGAAAGCCTGGAGCCGATGTGTGAGAGAAGCGCGTGAGGTAACCATAAGTAGTGTGTGCAACAATCACATCAAACTATCAATATATATCGAGGATGGAAGACCTATATCAATTCAGAATGATAATTTACCAACCCTACTCCACTACCGTACATCAATAGCAAGAGTACTGAGATCAAAAGTTGCTATACTTTAAGTCTAGTCTCTCTAAGTCACCGCTAACCTAAGCTACAAGACGACAATAATCGTTACGTACATAACTGCTGTCATATTCTCCTCCTCCTCCTCCTCCTCCTCCTCCACCACTCGCTCCTAAACCTCCACTTCCTCCTCCATACGATTGCTGATTCTATAAAATCCAAACACGGAAATACCTGAGACCAATAACTAACCAAGTCTCATTCTATATCACGAAAACAGAGGATAAAATTAATAGACAGACACAGTGCTCAAAATAAGCGTTGTCCGGTTGTCCGAGACAACCAGAATTTGCGCCGGACAACCTAACCAGTCTGAGACATTGTCTGGTGGACAACCAAGAAAAAAGTTGACGAAAAAACGCACTTTATTTATATTTTTCTGACCGCGAATTGAATTTCTTTCGGCTGTCAATCGGCCTGCATTGCGTCCATACCTAGTGCAGAGTTCTGCAAGAGCATTTCTAGCCTGGCGGCCGGCCGCCGTCGAGCACCGCCATCCTATCCCTAACCCAACCCTAACCATAACTCTATACCGACTCGGCTATCTTATATACGCGTGTTATAGTACCCAATTAATCTATGGTGTATAACCTTTTGCTTTTAATATTTTGCATCTGAACTGACAATCAATCCCAACCAACTTAGAGACTGCACATTTCCGCTTCAAAATTTGCCAAATTCCGTTTCGGAGATTACTAAATTCCACTTCAATTCTGTTTCAACAAATTTCTACATTTTAATTCAGAAATAATGCACATTTCCGCAACATTTCTGCAAAAAAAAATTGTTGGATCTGTAATTTCTTTTGGAGGGTTAAAGTGATGAATGTAAGATAAGTTTTCATAATCATTTTGTGTGTGTTGGGAGTGATTTGAGCTGTTTAAAGGTTATTTTTGTGTTTTGGGAGGTTATTTTTGGTGAAACTGGTGATTCCGTTTCAGAGTGGGTGATTCCGTTTCAGAGGGGGTGATTCCGTGATTTCCGTCCATTTTCCATTTTCATGGAAATGTGCAGTCTCTACCAACTGGTGTCGGCTAGCTGGCACAATAATGTTCATTTTCATACTTCAAATCCAAGTGTTTTCTAGCTCATCAAGAAATCTTAATCGTGAATTAAATCGTAAATAATATAAAAATATGGGACCAGCTGCTATTTCCAACACTGGTATAGGTCAGGTTTTCTGATTTATGAGAGGTGAACTCGATTTGGAACCAGCAAACTAGCAAGTTTCCAAAATTTTCTGGGGGAAGACCCCCATACCTCCCCCCTGCCTGTTCACCCCTCACCCCTCACCCCCTCCTTGAAATCCTAGACCCGCCACTGAACAATTACCTATCTTGGAAGCAGAGAACAATGAACAAAAATGTCGCCTTTTCGCATGGCGCCCAAAACAAAGATTGCAGAGCTGAGAGGTAGAGGAGCCATAGGGTGTGGAGAGGGAGGCGGAGGAGCCAGTAAAATATTAAGTCATCCACTATTTTGCGCAGTTCGCTGTTTTTGGCCCCCCATTGTTAAAAAATCCTGGTTACGCCACTGTTTTTGGGTGTTTTCTGATCATATTATGTGATTGCAAATAGGAGATTTGGGGATATTTTTTGGGACAACCAGAAATTGTTGCGGACAACACGATTTGATGCCTGGGCTGTCCGCAAAGCAACCACATTTTTTTCCTTATTTCGAGCACTGCAGACACAAATACAGACGACCACATAGACAAAGGGACAGAATTACCATCAAATCAAGAGGCAGGCAGATACACAGACAGACAGACAATGAATGGATGAAAAAATGAAAGACAGGGAGAAAAAAAAATCAACAGAAAGATAACTGCCATCTAGCTAGAGAGACGCCAGGTTTAGAAAAACACGAATCGAACGATGCTGCCGACGTTAACGAGCAACATTAATTAATCAACATGACGAAGCACCATGAGACACACACGGCTACACTTACGTATTCTGGATCATCATACGCTCCGCTGTATGACTGCTGCTGCTGGACAGCCAGTGACAGAGGCTGGGGCTGTCGTGTCTGTGCCCCGCCCCTGGCAACGCCACGCCCGCGCGGCATGGGAGATCCCCGTGAGCCGAGGGAGACACCCCGGGGCACGCTGCCACCCCGCATACCCGGCGCGCCTCCGCGGCCGCCGCCCGCTGCTCCGCCTCGCGGCACGCCCATGCCACCTGGTGGGAAATCAACAGAGCAACAGCAATAGATGAGCAACTTGACATTTAAAGGTCTCCTCCTCTTTGCCCATCGTGCTTTCATACATCCCTCCGTAAAAATCACCGGTTTGATCACCGCAGGGCAGGACACGATTAATGACGACAAAAGGTCACGGGAGAAACGTCTCTAATTTGTGTGAATCGATTGCAAAATGACCTACAGACAAGTCACCTGAACAAGGTGCAAGATACCCCCAGCTCCTTGGTCCATCTAGAACTGTTTATTAATGCATGCCAAATTGTTGACTCAGCAGCACCTCACCACTAAGCAACCTTTTTAGAATGAACCTATCAGAACACAGATTGCTTAGAGCTGTCAATCATTCCAGGTAGATTGATCAATTAATGGATAAGCTATTGATTACTAATGATAGTTATTCTAGAACACTAATGCACAGATACAAGATCTATAACACATTTACCCGCAATAAACAAATAAAATAATCAAATGACACTTGACAATAAGTACTTATTGATTATATATGATAAATATTCTTATCTCACCAAATTACCAAGTTTGCCCTCAAAATGCCACCCAATTGACCGCAAAACTGCGGCATCATGCAACAACCGAACATGCATTACCTCTAGGCGCGCCACGACCGCGCACACCAGGTGGCATCCCGCGTCCGCGCGACGACGGCGGGTAGCCCATCGGAGGGCGCCCCCCCATCAGGGGCTGCGGTCCGCCATTCATCTCGGACATCTGCTGCATCTGGTCATAAGACTGGTCCTGTGAAGCAAGCAACGCAGCAGACGTGGTTACCAGCGTTAGCACGCGCAGCAGCTGTAGCTGCCGTCACCTTCCTCCGCAACTCTCACACGCACGCATTTTCATCTTGCCTTTCTTTCTCTTCCTGTCACTCAAAGCTTATGTTTGACTAATTCAGGCGGGTATGTATATGTTTATTTATATATATAATAATATATATACATATAGGGTAAACTGGGGTAAAAACGCCCATTTTTTAAGTTTTTGCTAAATATCTCAGTGCTACTTGGAGACACTAGGAAACAAATGTGTGGTTTTATGCACTACATGTCTCCTCTATTGTGTGCAAATATATTATCATGGTCATTATATTGATAAGGGAAAACTCCCCCCCCCCTTTCCGAGAGGATGTTTGGCGGGCGTTTTTACCCAGGCCTCGGGGTAAAAACACCCACTCAGATTTTTTGAAGGTTAAAAATGCCCACTCAAAAAAACATTATTAAGCAAATATTAAAGTTGATTGTAATATTTTAAAGGGAGAGTTTACTCTAGGTTCTAGGGTTATTTTCAGCTAATTTAGGTTATAATTACGCTACATAAAAAGTTTCATGGTTTAATCACCATTAGAAATATTTTTTTTAAATGTTTTAAAACTAACGACTACAGTTTGATTACAACGACGGTGGCGCCACTCAAAGCGCACGATCTCATAAGTTGCGCAAAACCACTTTCCAGCCAAGGGCTACAGACCGAGGGTGTTTCTTATTTATTAATTTAAAAGCAAAAGGATTGTAATCTCTTATATAAAGGGCGAGCCTGTTTTGTGTCTGTCTGTCTGTCTGTCTGTCTGTCTATCTTCTCCCCCCACGTAAGAGTTCACCCCCAACATCATATATATTCTGAATCAGCATGACCCGACGACTATTTTAAGTCAAAAAAATTAGACCAAAAAATTAGACCCAAAAAAATTGACCAAAAAAATTGACAAAAATTAATTTGACCAAAAAAACGTAGCGGCCTCTTCTTCTTTGACACTCTTGGCGGAACAGGCAAGACCTTCGTTACCAACCTTCTTCTGGCCAAGGTCAGGCAGACGAGGAAGATTGCCTTGGCAGTTGCTTCAAGCAGTATTGCTGCCACCCTGCTGGACGGAGGGCACACAGCTCACTCGGCCTTCAAGCTGCCATTCAACCTGGCAAAGCGGCAAAATCTAACCTGCAACATCAGCCGTGGCTCCACAAAGGCCAAGCTGTGCCAAGAGTGAAACCTCAATATCTGGGACGAGGCAACCAATGACCCACAAAGCCGCTTTT